GCTTTCAAGCACTTTGACACGGGCACCATCTGATGTCCAGCTGGGCAAGATAGGCTGGAGCAAGCGCAGGTTTGGGCCGGCAACCGAGCTCGGCCTGAACCGATGTTCCCTGCCGAATCAGACGTCCTCTTCTGACCACGGAAGGCCGTGCCGCTTCCAGGAGGAGCGTCCTTTGCCTGCTGTTGAGTCTTTCTCATTCACTCAATACCTTTCCATTTTGATTTATTTATAGCCCCTCTTCAGGTGCGGAGCCTCATGACTCGGCAGTTCCACTTCTGCGCATCTTTGTCTTAAAGTTATTTTTAAGACGCCGAGCTGAGCCGGGCAGTGCAGCCCGCCTGGGCTCCAAGAGGCCGATTGCTCACACTCGTCTCCGTGACCCACAACAGCCGGCAGACTAAGACGTCTATTTTTAGTGCCCGCGTGAGCCTCTTATCGGCCCAACAGAAGAGAACAAAATGTGCTGAGGGCAAGCCCGCTCAGCCCGGGACGAAGAACGGTGCTCCTTTGCCACCCACTCCACAACCCCTCCGTAAGAATAAGCCACGTCTCTGCAACCAGCACAGCCGCAGCATTTGACAGCCAGGAGTGCAGAGAGCCCCCTTCTCCCACTAGCCTTTTCCTGGCCAACTGGGCAGCCCCCCAAACCATTCCTGCCTGCTTGCCTTTCCTGGCAGGGGTCGGGGGGGGGGTTGACGCTTTTGCACAACTCCAGGCTCGCGGTGCACCAACTGAATCTGGGACTGGGCAGGAGCACTGAGACGGGTCTTTGCAATTGCGGGGGGGGGGGCTCGGGGAGTGGATCTCCCTCTGCTAGGACAACCTGCAAGGCAGTTTTCCTGGGCGGGGCGGGGTGGGGGGGCAGAGCAGCCAAAAGCCGCAAGGCAGGGACTCCCTCAGCAATCATTTCGGACGTCACGTTTTTCCACCACAGGCCAAAGTGGAGGTGAAATTATGCTGCGATCCAGATTCTATTCTGCATCTGTCCAGAATAAAACATGGATGTTTACAATTAAGTACTGACTCGACAAAGATCATTTGTCAAGCCAAAACTTCAGAGCAGTTCAGTCAAGAACCAACCAGCAAAGCCCGTTTTCCCTCCCTGCCCAGCCTCCGCCTTCACGGCCAAAGGGGGTCAACTCACTCCCGGGGGCAATGCAGCTTCCAGAACATGAGCCCCGTTTTCATCTGGGCCTCCTGCTGCCCACGGGAGAGGTACACTGACCACAGCCAGAAATGGGACTTAGTAATGCAAGCTGACCCGCAGCCGAGCCACAGCTTTAACCACAGAAAAGCTGGAGGCAGCATCGCCACACGCTGAGAACGCGCTCTGCAAGAGGTCTCCCGCGTCCCACCGACGGTCCAGGCTGGGGGGCTTCCTCTTGGCTTGCCCAGATGAGGGTTTTCCAGCTCTCCGTGCTCCGAGCCCGAAAGGAGCACCAGCCGGGAGGGCCCCAGCAGCTTGTGCTACACGCAAGGAGCCCTTCCCCTCTCCGGCCCCCCGACTCTCGCTCTCTGTCCGAAGAACGGAGCTCAGCTTTTACGGGTGACGCACACGTGCAGAGCCATCCTTCCAGATCACAGCATGTCACACAATCGTACCCCCAGATCAGGGGTGTCTGCAGGGGATGGTCAAAAAGTCAAGATGGCAGCTGCGATGGTGCAACTGAAGCTCCACCTGGCTTTTGCGCATGTCGCGTTTGATCGCGCTGCGGCGGCCACCTCTGACTTTTCTGACCATGCCCTGCAGACACCCGACGCCCTTCCAAAAGGTAAAGCGACACCGCAGCAGGGCACAAACCAAGAAACTGCCCTCTGCCCCACAGCACCCCACACCTGCCCTGGCGAAGAGCTCTTCCAAGGAGGAGGCCCTGGAACCCTCTGCCCCCTTCGGAAGACTCTTCCCCCAGTGCAAGGCGAGAGAAGACAGGCTTGGGAGGCGAGCCAGGCCCACCATCCTTTCTCTAACAAAAGACCCCTCCCACCACTAGGAATTGGGGGAAGCAGACCCCGCTCCTTTCCCAAAGGCAAATGCCCACGGAGCACAAGGCAGCTCTTTCGGGGGTCTCCAGGGGTTGGTGGGCAGGGAAAGTCCAATGACAAGGGCTGGAGAAAGCACCTCTTCTCTGCCCCCCATCCAACACAGACCGGCTTCACGGAGCTTTTGCAGCAGGAGGCTCCCCCCCCTTTCCTTATGGAAATGGCACAGGGGATCCACCAGGAGTCTCCAGCAGGCCCACCCTGTCCTTGGTCATCCCTGGAGAAGGACCGGGCCAAACACCGAGCAAAGGAAAGGGGACTTGGGCCTTCGCCCCAAGGACCGTTCGGGGCTGAGAACCAGGGGGCCCATCCTGGAGTTGCGCGATTCCTGCTGATCCTCGGGCATCCCGTTCCTGGAGCTGGTGTGGGGGAAGCAGAATTCATGGCAAAATAACCCCCAAAGGAAGAGGGGGGTTACAAGAAGGACCCTCCCCCAACAACAGAGAAACAAGGAGCTGCTGCATAGAGCCTCAACGGCTGGGTCACGTTCTCCCCCCAAAGGCGGGGACAAGGGACGCTGCCTCCGAAGTTCGGGGGGCAGGCTTCGGCTAGTCAGTCCCGGGACGCCGGTTCCGCGCAGAGCCCGGCCCTGCTGCCCCTCTGCACCGAGACGCCATCAGGAGGAGAAGAGGCGCCTGCGCTCGCTCACGGCCCGCCGCTGTAGGAGTAATCGGCCTTGTTGTGCATCACCAGCTTGTTGTCCACGAAGTAGAAGCTGTCCGACTGCGTCTCGTAGGGGTGAAGGATCATCTCCTGGACTGGGAGAGAAGCCACGAGCGAGGCTCAGACGCCGCGGGCTTGACCGGGTGCAGCCCGAACCGTAGCGTTACTATTCTGCCCCCCCCCCCAAAATGCAGAAAACCAGAGCACCTCAACTGATTTAAAAAATGCCAGCAGAGGATTCCTGCGGGGTTAGCAGAGCTGAAGGCCAGCAAACCAGGGGCGGGAGAGGTACAGAAAATCCGTCTACCCAGTCCGTGCCTTTCTGCTATTTCTAAAACTTCCGTTTCCCCCACCTTCTTCAACCCCGCTCGGATTTCGCAAGGATTGTCACAGTGGCAACTGAAGTCAAGATCTTAGGCAAACTTATGAGGGGATAAACCCAACGGAAACCAGGCGGCAGAACTTGCCTAGGGGCCTGCAGTAAGATCAAGGCTGGGCCCGCCTGTCTGTTAAGTCGTGGTTTGTTTTAACCGTGGCTCGCCAAAGAGTGCACAATGGGCAAATTCACACTGGATGCCAAAAGCGCACTGGGGTTTAGCACAATGCGAGAACTGAGCCTCAGAAGACAGTGGATTCTGTCTTTTGACCTAGTTGGCGCAGCCATACGTTGCCAGAATCCCCGGCAAGGAGATCGGACGGGGCAGTGCTGGACTGGGTCCAACGCACGGGAACAGGGGCTGGACCAGGATAAATATTTATATTTCCCCAGCACGCCTGGAGGGAAAGAGGGTTGCCCAGTGGCCGGGCACCCAACTGGCCAGCCGTAAGGTTCCACGCCGGTTCCTGGCAGCATCTCCAAGTCAGCCCAAAAAGATTCCTGCCTGAAGCCCTGCAGTGGGGTGGCCACTTGCCCCGAAGAGGCTTGCACCTCGCCCCAAGCTCTCGTGCGCCTCCGCTGGCCTCGCACGCTGCACCGACCCTACGCGGGACAGGGCTGCGGCTCAGCGCATCATGGGACCTCAGCCTCTCGGGGCTTCCTGAGCACCCCAGGGGAGCGCCCCACGGCAGCAGCTTCCCAGGCCGGCCTCAGGAAGAGGCAGGGAGGACCACCCCTCTTGCTCGCCCCTTCCCTCCTCCCCAGCCTCCCCTCCCTTACTGAGGTCTTCGGAGAGCTGGGGGAACTCATAGATGTGCTCGCAGGTGTTCTTGCTGGTGGGAATGCAGAAGCCAAACTGAAAGTCAAAACTCTTCAGCAGCTGGTCCCGGAAGTAGTGCCGCTCGATCATGCGGAAGTCGCTGATGGGCTTGTCGCCAACTGTGAACTCCACCCTGCGGAAGGAAGGAAGGAAGGAAGGAAGGAAGGAAGGAAGGAAGGAAGGAAGGAAGGAAGGAAGGAAGGAAGGAAGG